AAAAGTGACAAAATTACTACCAAAAACAGGGCGAACTTAATTAGAAGTATTAATGTTTATTGAAATTCCCTTTTGACAGTAATGAACAAGCTGTTCTAGAATACTCTGCATCGATGACGAAAGGAGGTGGTGAGTTTGGATGATACTTATCATCTACACTAAAAATTAAAAAATTACTAGTATCTGAATTATTTATTAAATCAGAACTAGAGCACTGAAAGTGTGTGCAGCCTTGGCTACTTGTGGATAAACACGATTAGTCATCGCTTCTTATTTGACAGGCACGAGTTCTACGTCTGCCACTTGCAGTCCAACCAAATTATATACGGACTATAAACTAATTAAATAAAATTCGATTATTTCCTAAGAACACTGATGAAGGGTACTTGGTAATACTCGAAACAGCGTTGTATGGTCAGCCAAATTTCAATAAAAATTAAAATAAATTTTTGTGTTTGTCCTTTGTTTCTTTCTTTGCTATTCGAAAAACCCTCTAAATTTTAAATAAAGTTTCTTTGATTCACTCATTTTTATACACATGTTGATTTTTGTAAGAATTTGTTTTAAAAAATTTTAATTTTTTTGCTTTTTTACAGAAATTAAGCACTGATGAAGTTCTAAAAAAACAGAACGAAATATATGCTGAAGATTTTTAAATAAAAGCTTTTTCATTTGGTTTGTCTGCTAGCCGATAAACAATTTTATATCTTAATTCATTATTATTTACAATACTTATGGTTTTTTTTTTTTTAACAAACGCTAGCCACAACTTTTGCGTTTGCAATTTTTAAATTTGCAGCTACTAGTGAGGCTCCTTCACCCACAATGCTTACAGTTCTGCCGTTGTTTTTTATTGCCGCTGTTTGCATTCTTGCTATGCAAGCAAGTTCTATTCTTATACGCACCGTTAGTACCCTTGATATGCAAATTTCGTTTGAAAAGAGCATTGATGTGAAAGCATCATTTGTTGTTGGAACGTCTTGTTTTTTGCTTCTGTAACTATTGCAATTCTTAAAGCACGTTCAATGGTTAAACTCTCCTTTTTTTTGCACAATATTTCAAAAGTTCTAACATCTGAAGCTGTTACGATCTTGTTTAGAACAAAAGAATCCAATTGTGCTCCGAATTTGCAATTTCTTGCAATTTTCTTTAAATATGCAAACCACTCAGAATTTGTTTGCCCTTTAAGGAGCTGAGTTAGAGGTAGGTAGCGTAAGAAATTAACTCAACGCAAAATACACAACCAACCAAACCTGTGTATTTGATAGGAACGAAATAAACAAAAGCGGCAAACTTAGAAACAAAATAGAAAAATCAAATTCAATTAGGTTTTGAAATTAAGCAAATTTAAAAATTGTGCTTAGTTGCTCGCGAAACCTTGCTGAGGGTGGATGCGCTGCAATAAGATGCGGATTGTTTATTATAATGAGTTGATGAAAAAAATATGAACTGTTGTTTGTTTGAGGTAAAATGTTGATGATTTTTTTTTTCTAAAATATATTTTTTACATTACTTTATTGATATTGCTGAATATTGATTGTATTTCCTCATAGCGGAAATAATCAGCAGAAAATATTTCAATGAATTTATTTTATTAATAATATTTTCACAATAGTTAATTATAATTAATTATTTTATAATATCTTATATATTGATCAATAAGCAATAAAAATATGAGAAATACTTATTTATTATTAATAAAAAATATTAAAAATACAATTTTAAAATATATAATACAATAATACAAAAATGTTCAGATATGCAATATAATAGATATTAGTCATATATAAAAATATTTTTAATTATTTCATTAAAAAAATTTTTTTGTGCAAAAATAATATATAAATTCACTGCACTTGCGGACAAACAACTACCGGTTGAAACTTTTAAAGTTTACAATTGTTGATAAAACAACACATAAATGGTAAATAGTTTTTTTTTCTTTTCAATTTAAGCATATGTGATGTCACTAACAATATTTGTCTTCAATTTTAAATAATATAGTTTCGGGATTGTTTTACGTGCACATTTTGAAAATGTTTTGTTTACATGTTCAAATGTAAATAAAATCAGCTGCTTACTTAATCGATTAACAAAGTTTTAATTTAAAGTGAAATTTTCATTTCTGCTTAATTTCTTGCATTACTTACCGTCTAACTCAGCCTTTATTGCGAGCAGTATCAAAAAGTTTTTGTCGCTCACGAAAAATAATCACAGGTTTAGAAAAATGACTTTTCAAAAGTATGCACAATAGAGCATTCGTTTTGGCTGAAGGCAGAACCGGATTACAGATGTCCCGTAGCCTCCATTTCTGTTTTTTAATAGGACCGATCGTTTAATTTTGTCGTCCTGACATGCCATTTCAATAAAATGGGAGTCTGAAATCTCCACTCAGTCACGCCAACTGTCCATCTGCGGCCTGAACTCCCGCGAACCTGAAGTAGTCGTAGTAGTAATACAAACATTTTCATTTTGCGCCATAATTATTGAACAAATTAATGATTTTTAATTAATAATTTAATTCAATAATAATAATTTAGTTGATTTTTAAATCCTCGTCGCCAATATTAGTGTTCACGTTAAGGTTTAGATTGAGATTGGTTTTTATTTATTTAATTGTAATTTACAAGCTGACTTAACTATTATTCAAATTATGCTCTCTTATTTTCTACTCTTATACAAAGCTTATTCTATTTATATAAAATCTTAAACGCAACAGTAATTATACTGTACTGAATTTTATTATGCATGCAAATAACAATAAAAAATGTTCGTAAATAGTATATATTTTATTTGTCAAGAGCATTTGTCATCTTGACAATTTATCAACAAAAGAGTTTTTTATTTACAACACAAAATACCAAAACCTTGACAAAATAAGTAAGATGGTAAATAATTGTTCATACTTGACAAATGTGTCAAGTTCACAGAATAAGTCCCTTAATATACATTAACATATAAATAAAGCTTCATATTCTTATACTCTTGTTAGTAGCATCTTATTAATTAATACATACATACATATATACACAAAATTATTATTTTTTTCCACATTTTAATTTCCGTGTAATTAAAAGCACACTAGTACTATAATTATTAATTTGTTCAAATTCCAACTGCGTATATCACGGGTTGAGAGCTAGGCTCTTGGTAACCTAAATTGTTAACGATTTTATACCCATTTTGTTATTCGAGTTAAAGAGATGAACGGCACTACCGGAGTCGAAAATTGAGCTTGCGAATTGTTCTTCGATATTTTGGTTCAAGTTTTTGGAACATAGTACTTGCGTGATCGTTTTTATTGGCAATAAAATCATATAGTAGTGTTAAAAAATAACTTCTGTTTTATTGTCGTTATAAATGGCGGCAACTAGTCGATTTTGGATTGCAGTGCGTAACCTCAGTCTTTTGAGTCTTCTGAAGTGCACAAGAACGATAGAATTGTTTGGTTCGCACGCTCAACCTGACCATTTGAATAAGATGTACGTACGTCAGTGTACCGTTGTTCTTGAATATGCTTTAAATTGGATCGCAGTAAATATTGTTCTACAATTACGATTATCATACGTAAACAAAAGCATTGGATTAGTCGTAGAAATTTTGGAAAATAGTTGCAGTCTTAATAATGCATACAGCTTTAACTATTAGAAATTTTGTCAAAGTATCAAAAGTGACTAAAGCTTCTCAGTTACTACTCATGATAAATTGTCCAAGCTTTTCATCCTTGAAAGTTATCGTAACAGCACATTTCGGTGAACCCGACATTTGATTTGATGCGTTCAATAGCCTTATCAGTTGCGAAATGTCCCATATTATCTTGGCATGATTAAGTCTCCATCACTCTCCATCGTAATGTTACAGTACGACGGATTTCAGACTATTGAGGGTACGGCGATAAATTCGATGATTCTAAAGTTGTATTCGATGATTTTTTTAATTGCATTGACTGAGCGTATGGCTTCTATGTTTGTAACATGTAAATAATCTTGATGTTTTACCAAGAGCCGTGAGATTATAACTATAATACCTACATTTAGTTTTTACACAGTCGTGACTGTAATGAAACAATTATTGTCAAAGTTTTCTATTTATCGATTGCTGCACTATGTTATCACATAATCCAAGCAACGGACTTGTGCCAAGTATTTCAATCAATTTCACGAATGCTTTTTGATGCTTAGTTTTCTTATATATATCCGAACTATATAAAACATCGTTCTCGTTCTACGTTTCGAAACAATCTCTATTTTATTATAGTTACATATTCAGAAAATAGTATTCTTAAGTCTATCTTTGAAAAACAGCTACTTATCCAAATAATATTCGATTATATTCGTAGTGGCCACCAATAGTTCCGAAGACGGTGTACTGTTTAGAGTATTCTACAATTTGTATTTGATATTATTCCATACGGAAATCTAGCATAGTAAAATATTTATTTTTGGTAAGTCAATCAATTTGTTCTTCTATATTTGGCTTAACTTCGAAATTTTGTTCTGCTCTTCTATTATAATACAATTACCATCCTGACAGAATAATCATTAAGAAAAAGTAATCTTGGTAAATAACCCATAATATACCACTATAAGATAACTTTCGATGTATTGTACTTATTTGAGTCCATTTCTACAATCACATTTACTTTAGAGGTACATTCATGGTGAATTTTAACATTAGTTCTGGCAATTTTACATCGTGTTAAAGTCTATTACGTTTGTTTTGACCTATAATTTGAAAAGCGTGTAAACGGGAGTGATGTGTCCGAAGTTATTATGACATGAAGACTTTGTTGGATATTGTTGCGATCCATAAAAGATAAAATTATGCTGTGAAATACATCACGAAGGCATCGTTAATGGAGTTAAAATATTTTTACTTAGAAAATTGGCGATAATGACTTGGAATGCACAGTATTTTTACTTTACATAGAACATAAATAATTAAATATATCACATATTTTTAATTATTTTTAATATATCACATATTTTTAATTATTTCAGGTAATTGAAGGTGGTTAAAATTTTCACCTTGCTCAGTAAATGCAATATGGAGTCAGAAGAGTCAAGACCAGGTTGTTCGGAAAGCAATTCCTCTACGAATTCGTATAATTCTCAAATACCAGTGACCATGCAATTAAATTTAAATGATGACATAAATTCTGTCAAAGAAAATCAGAAAGGCTGCAATATTACAGAAATTGAAGATCAAGTAAATATGCATAGGCTCTTATCACCAAATTATCTAAATTCACCAGTAGCCGACTCAATAAAAAATTTTGAAAATGCTTTATCGTCCGAAAATGACAACCAATTAAACACTTGTAACAATGAACTTTGTTTACCACAAAACCAAACAAAGTCATCAACTGCTTACTTACATAGTTCTATAAATACATTTGCGTTTTTAAAACGGGGTCGCAAACTTGAAAATCAAGATATTAAAGGTGATGTATATATAAATCATGAGGACCTAAGTGATGTGAGCGATACGGAAAACGATAAAAAAGACTCGGTGTTTAATACTGATGAAGACTTAACTCATGTAGACAATTCTCCATCTAAAATGACTACTGACCCCACTGATGGAATTATGGTGGACTTACGTGAAAAACTCAGCAAAGATAAAAAGCAAAATCAAATTCAAGTATGTAGTAAACAATATATAATTATTTTTAAAGTTTTTAATATTAATGATTTTAGAATTCTTATATAAACAATATAATGAATCATCGAGACGTCGAAAACTTGAATGGGAAAACGGGCATAAATGAATCCTTAGAAGATTTTGTAAAATCTCATGATGAAGATACTTTAGATTTTGAAGCAGAAGAGGGCGAGTGTCAAGAACATAAAGATGGAACGTTTGTAGATATAACAGAGAATTTGGACTCTTTAAAACCGAATAAAACTCATAAAAAATTGACCGAGAAAATTGTGAACCAAGATGAATTAGAAGAAGGTGAAGTATCGGATGATGAAGAAAAACGGCCCGAAGAAGTTGAACCAAAACCGGTTTGCCGGTTTTACACACGAGGTCAATGTACATGGGGAATGAGTTGTAGATTTCTTCATCCTGGCGTAACAGATAAAGGCAATTATACAATGTTTGATTTAGTTCGTCCAATTTCTTTACCACAAGCAAATGTTGCTGCGGTCCGCAATAATTATACACATACAAATGATTATACTGACTATCGATCAGAACGTGTTTCAACGCTCACACGTGCTAATTTGCATAATATATCTGCATTGTACTCTTCTCCCCATGATCCAAGAGCGCTTGCTTCTGATGGACCAGTTGTTGTAGAAAGTGCATGGGAACGTGGACTTAGAACAGCTAAGGAGATGATGCGTAAAGCTAGTAAACGTAAAGAACAAGATACGGATTTTGAAGATAAAAAAATGAATTTAACACTCTCACCAGATGACTTAGAAAAGGACCCTTATTATGCTAAAGAAAGGGGGTCTCCTGTAGAGGAAAGTTTTGTATTTAACCAATAAGTCAAATGCCTTATTATTTTTATTGCAGGTTATGAAAACTTATAATCGTCATGGTATCTATAATGAAGTTAGTGTATACAATTCATTAGAACGTTTTAGTCGACCACCAATATCATCATTAGATGATATTGATACTTACGGTCGTACATCACGTTATAGAGAATTGCCTCCACATCGTATGCCGCACTATGAAGACGAAAGACGTGTTCGTCCTACCCGCGAAGTAATAGTTCAGCGTGTGGAATCTGTTACTCGTGCAGATGAATGGAATGATCCATGGATGCGAAAAAAATCTCCAGGAGGCACATCACGAGATCGAAATGACAAAAGACGCAGAGAACGTAGCTATAGTACCAACTCGTCTTATTCAAGTTCAACTAGTTCTCAATCAGAAAGTAGCTCCGATTCCAGTCGATCAACAAGTCCTTTAAAGGAAAGAAGATATAATAGTTTTCAAAAATCACCATCTTTGAATCGAAGATATGGTGTACGAAATATACATTCACCTAATTCCGTAAGAAGATCTAGGCGTTCTATGAGTAAGTACTTAATTTATCCAGATTTATATATAAATCTTATATATTATTTCCGATTAATATAATTAAAAAAAAAATTTGCCCCATTAAAACATGTTTTTGATGTTTTCGGAGGTAAATTGAAATTATACTAAAGAAATAGAACAAAATTCTGTTCTCAAAACTATATTTTATAGCAATTTTGGTTAAATACTATTTTGACAAAAGCTTTCTTTAAATTTATTTCTGCATTTATTGTTATCTCCTATGGTAAATAAATGTATTTTCGGTACAAAACTTTGTATTTTTAAAATTTTAAACGCAGGAACGCAATTTCGTAATGTTGTTGTTTTTTCTATTCATACTTTTCAACGAGTGTCAAACTAAAAAAACTAAGGAGAAGGTACTTAATATAGGGTCATGATGTTATATAGATATATAAATATAGATACAGAGGTCGGTATGCCGAGGGGCAATCTGATTTCTACCTGGTTTAAGTAACAACTAAACACTGATGTTTTCATTTTGTGGAAAATATTCCTTTATTAAAAGACTTAGTAATAAGCCAGCAAACGCATCAGGAACTTCGTCGTTTTCAACTGCCGGATAACTGAGGTCTATATTTGGTTGCGCCTGAAGAAATAGTGTTTTAACTATTAGGTCAATGAAACACGGTTCCAACGGCTGCGTTGCTGTCGGGCCTTTTAGAAAAGCCATTACCACTTTGTACGGTTTTCCCAATGGGTCAATACCTGCATGTTCTTGAAGTGTCTCAAAAGCGCGTCTTTTCCTTGTTTGTATGGCTTTCTTAAGCCGTCGCCTATGCTTTTTGGAATTCTCTTGCCACACTTTATACGGTTGATTATGCCTCAATCTCTGCAGCGCTCTTCGTGCTCTGTTGCACTACTGTCGTAGATCAGCGATTTCTTCCGTTCACTAGGTGTTCATACTGGTTTGCGGCTTGTTTTTCTCATCGATGCGTGTCGTATGCTGCTTTTAAACACCTTGTAATGCCAGTTGTCATATCTGTAGCGGTGTTTTCTGAGGTTTTGCTATCTTTCCATATTTGAAGGATCATTTCACTGTCAAACTTGCGCCATTTCCAGCTCCTAGTTTGCGCTGTTTTTAATTGCTTTTTTATTTTGCTTTTTGCTCCTGTTCCGCATCTCTATAACAATAGACAGATGGGCGCTATTCGTGCAAAAATCACCTACCTTCCATGTGATATCACAGACTATTGAGTTATGTACGAATGTCAGGTCTACTGCTAATCTTTTTCAAAGGTATGTTGTCCATTGTTCAACAATACGAGATCAATCGTAGTAAAGCATTTTTTGATTTGTTGTTTTACTATCCCATGCAGCGTTCCATGCGTTAAAGTGTCCGCAAACAATTGCGGGGCATAGCTCTGCGACACATACTTCTTTTACAATTTCTGACGTCAAGACTTCGAATTCTCTTAGCTCCAATCTAGGGGTGTATAGCAAGAAAAGTAGTATATTTCATCTTCCAAGAAAAGTAGTATACTGCATCTTTTTTTGTCCGTATTTTGTCTTCATGAGACCGTATTTTGTCTTCATGAGTCTCCCTCGTAGATTACTACCAAGAACACTAAATACAAGATGACTTCTCAAGAAGAAATTGTTTTTGATTTCTCTCTATAGTTCACATTTCTTATTTACGTAATGCTACATGTGCGAAGGTAGCATTAATCAATGCTCGGAGTTTCCAACAACAATTTGCCTTAGTTAACCAACACAATAGACAAGAGGCACCACCACATCTATTCTTCATTGTTATTGCACACTTACTGTATGATTTCGTACGCAATAGTAGGTGAAGAAATATTTCTGAAGTTTATGCATAGTCTTTGTGTTTGTATATTTTTCCTAAAATATATAGTATGACTGGCTTTGTGTGCATGCAATGCACAAGTAGTTTCAAATTATTAAAAATTTGATTTTTGATGAAATTTTATTCTGATCTCATACAAATATATGAGGTTTGCATATTATGAGGTTAGTTAGCACCGGCAGTAGTACAGTACTATGCCCTATAGTAGCAATGATGTGATGTATATTAATATAAACATCATATTGTTTTTTAAAATATTTTATTATAAAAGTTCAAAACATCAAGTTAAAAGCATTGCATTTATTCTTAAATCTAATCTTACATGATAACTTATACAATTTACGACCTATTTCCAATAATTATTATTAACTTATCACTAAAGGCACGGCTTGCATGCCGTTTAAAAATTTTATATACACCTGAATTTATATTATCATGAACGTAACATTAACATGAACTTCAAACCGGTTACCGATAGATGAGAGGAGGAAGAGAGTATGATGTGAGTTCATGAATTTCAAGCAACGAAATTTGCTTCGTTTTTTCAGCTTAACACGCATATATATTTATTGTTATGTTTACGTTTACCTTTTCATTCTGAATACTTTTAAATTCTTTTACTCCTATGAATGTAAGATATGATACGAGCGTAGCTTATGATTAAACGGTTCCTACCTCCTCTTATATACATTTGCAAATTTCATGTTTAAACAATTATACCTTATCACAAAAAGCAATTACAATATTAAAACATATATATATTTTAATCAGTAATTTGATTAATTCAAACGAAGAAAAGGTTTTTGTATTGATGTAAGATATATATTTTAAAACAATGTAAATGTTTAACTGAATTCTGACTACGCACGGTGCTAAAATATTTCCAAAAGAAAATATAGCAAAACACAAAAACAAAGGTAAACAAATATTAAACTCTTTCTCTTCAACTAAATATGCATACATTTTATATGAAATTTACAAGCAAAAGCAAAAATAGAGAACAAACACAAAGCGTTCCTCTTGATGGACCTAATGTTTTTGGAAAAAATTTTTTCATAAGCTCAGTTGAGAAATCCTCTTGTATTTAGTGTTCTTTCTACTACCCTTTATGTTCCAGATAGCAGCTTTGCCAGTTGGGTCAGAAATTCTTTCTCTTCCAATTAGATTGCGATATTGCTCACTTATTATTGTAAGTTCGAAGTTCTGTTCCACCAACCGTTTGTTGTAATATGTCCTGTGCAGTGCTGCAGTGATTGAGGTTTAGCTGAACGTATTTTATTTATCTTTTTTTTTATCGCCTCGATGAGATCTTCGATGAGAATTTGTATTGTGATCGTATGTGTTTTCGTTGCCAGTTTAGCTGTTTACTGTAGCACACCTTCTGTTACGGATTGAAACTGGACAGCATTCTCAGGTGTACGTTTGACTTCCAGCATTAACTAATTTTTTGCCGTTCGCCTTAACGCTTTCACCAAGTGGTTTAATTGCTTTGTCAGCTTTTATTTTCTTTAGTATATCTGCATATAAAATATTTGTTGCTGCAGTATGATCAGCGCATCTGGTTTGGGTCGAGTTTTGTGGGTCTGCCTCAATTTTTTTTTCCTTTGGTTTCACTTTTGACCATGTTGATTGTTCTTCTTTTGTATTAGTATAAGTTTTCTCTTTTCGTTTTGCTACAGTAATGACCACTGGTGGCAATTTAATTTGTCAACGTTTAATTATTGGTGCCATATCAAGTCTTACCCTTATCCTTTTAGCTGGTGTTACATCCTTTATAATTTTACGCCTTCTATTTTGTTGCTCCGTCACTTTAAGCCATGGTGACGTTTGAGACGATGCGTGATTTCTTATTGACGTTTTAGATTGCATAAAGTTCGTAGAGAACTTTAATGTTTTCAATTGCATCTCTCCTTGGTTAATGGATAGAGTGCCCCTTTCCACCATTTTCTTTAAGCATGTCAACCAATGTCTGATTTTTCGCTGTAGAACCTATTTGTTCTTTTTTTAAATCTCTCTCTCTCTCTGCTCGACTATTGCGTAGTTGAATTGGCTGTGATGGATTTATCATACTTCTCTTTTGAAATGGACTTACTACCTCACTGATATCTACATTTGTGCTTTGGTTTTTGTTACTGCTGTATTGTGTGTGTTTATTGTTTGACGAATATATTCAGGAACAGGTGTACCCTCGGGGATAATACCCCTACTGTAACTCCCTGAGGCCGGACGTACAGTTTGATGATCTCAGAATTTGCACAGACCAGCGCTCGCCCATAGCAATGCAGTCTTTTACTCGTGTATCTAATTCACACTTCCTTACCTAGGTCCGAAGCGGCTGGTTTGTATTGTCTGACATAACATGTACTTCGGCAGAGCAAGCTCACATTACTCCTTTCGGTTCTCTAACTAATAAACCATTGCGTCTCAAGGACCTGCATAGGCCGCAATAGAACGACCTATTGCTTTGGAAGTGCTCAGCAAAGTTTTTTTGTGTTTGCCCCATGAGCTACCTGCGAGAGCTTGTAACACGTCGTTACAAGCGGCCAAATGTCGTTGAATATCCCTCAATGGAACAGGTGTGTGTTCGTTTGACATATGTCGTGTATAAGTGTGTTTCGGTGTAGTCAAGTTCTTCTAGCCGTGTAAGCACTGGCAATATGACAGGATATTATATTGCTGGCGAAGGTGATATAAATTGCGAACTTTTCTAAAGGATATATTCCTAAAGCATCACTATCATATTTAGTGAGATTAAAGTTGATCTTGTAAATTGTATTAACACCAACTTAAAATATATATGATACGGAATTCCCATGAGAGTTTTAATTTTAATTTTACCAGTCATTTCAAATTATTATTGATTTCGATAGCAAAACAAGTTGAAATCAAGAAGATTTGTATGGCAATTTTAACAACTAAATATAATTAAATCGTGATTTGTACAAAATCAAGTTGATTTTAACTTGTTGGACTGTTCATATTAGTACAGTATTGTTATTAGCTTATGCTGTTGTGAATAGTTTTAGCAAATGAATACAAAATGAAAAAAACTGTTATTTATCACATTTTTTTTTTGAAATTGGTTAAAAAGTGTGGACATATGAAAAATCTGACAAATTATTAAATTACAGTGTACGTCGTGTGAATCGATTTGTGTTTTTTGGTTTCAGATATCAGTTTAAAATTTTAAACAGCTAAAAATACAATCAAAATTCTCGTGTGAATTCATTGTATCTGCTCTAATATTGAAAGACAACTTTAAAAAATGTCAATATAATTAATACTTTTATTTCTTTTAGTAGCTTTTCGATCATTTTGTTTTCTTTTTTTGATCATAATTATTGTTTTTAATATCTGAATAATTTATTTCTTCTGAATTAAAGTTGTGTGAATTCAAGATTTTTATGTGTATTGACTGTGGTTAAATTTATTTTAAATATTGTATATAACTGTACATATTTTTTAATATCGGAATTTTATATTAGGCTTACAACATTCTCCAACTGCCAGGCGAGGTCATCATATATCATTATCTCCAGCTCTAATAAAAACAAATGCACATAGTCCCTCACACAAGCGAAAAAAATCATCACCTATTGCAAAAAAATACGTTAATATCAAATCAAAAACTAAACGAAAAAATACTGGTACATCTTCTGGAACAGGTAAGTTTGTTTTTATTATTCTTCAGTAACATTTCTTTATAATAATTTATTTGAATTTTGTACAGGTTCTTCTGACTCTAGTGGTTCTGATTCAGATTCAGAATCTGGGTCATCATCTTCAGATAGCTCTTCATGCTCAGTAGATCAAAGATTAGTTATAAAACAAAAATTAACTAAAAATAGAAAATCTATTAAAAAAGGTAAACTTTTCCATCAAAAATTTGAATTTACAATTAAAATAATTTTTTTTACATCAGTTCTCACAAAAAAAAGGTCTCCAATTTCCATTGAAATAAAAAAGCAGAATGCTGTTGGAACTTCAGCTTTAATATCGCCAACAAATTCAATATCATCAGAGAAGGGACTGAAAAAATCACGTCGTGAAGAACTCCTGAAACAACTACGAGCTGTTGAAGATGCGATTGCAAAGAAAAGATTAAAACTAACCTGATTGAACAAGTATAAATTCAATAATAAACTACATAGGACAGACTAATTTGTTTTGTTAAAAATATACTTGTCAATGGCATTTAATAAAGTATTTATATTATGTATTAATGAATGTGTCTTTTAAAATACAATTGATATTAATTTCCATTTAATTAAATCAAATAATTACCATATTTTTAGGGGTCTTACTTATTTTCCATTTAAATTATGTATTTATTAGTTTCTAAACAGTTAGTAATGGCTTTCAGTCAGATATTATAAACGGTGATTGCAATGCTAAAAATAAACATTGGGAATCAAGACTAAAAACAAAGCGTTTACACCTCGAGAAATATAAAGACGTCGGTGGCTTTCAGAAAAAGTATGTACGTTGGCTTTAATGCCAGTCGAGATTAGTAATAAAATGTCAAGAAATCGAGATATATAAATGATCTATGGTTGTGTTGTACTTTCTACCGATGTGTCAGTATAATGTTTCCAAAAATACTTACAGAAACTAGGTATATCTTGATATCAGCTGATCTTACAATAATTACTAAAGGTGTTAACTTAAGACCTCTAAAGTAAGAAAGCAGATTCCCCAATAATTTTTTCGATTTAAATGAAATAAATTATTTATAAGTCTGAATGATATTTTGATAATGAAGTAGTCTAAAACGAAATTTACGCAGAATATTTAAAATGTACCTGGAAATAGTACACTAAGGCCAGATATTGTCCAAAATAGAAAAAGGTATCCATACAACATTATGATATTTAATAATGTTATCGGGCACTACCAAAAAAAATTAATCTTATTCTATTTACAACTTCAACCTCTTAATAAAGGGAGTAATAAAGTGCCTTTAACCTGTGCCACATTAAGACCATGGTCTATCATGTTATATCACATGTTCCTCGAGGTAAACCTGTTTTTAATCTAGTGATAAAACTCGACCGTTTAAAGACGCAGTAATAGTCTTTAAATGGAGCCTTTCGGATAACTGGTGCCCGCCGAAGGAACATCAGAATGACATAATGACAGGTAAAGAAACAACTGCGTTGGTACAACATAGTACAGACCAAATATAAAGTCGACCTAGATAACAACAATAAGAGATGGAAATGGAAAAACCCACAACAAAAGATTGACTCTAGAGAGCCTCCACGTCCTGAAAAACATACAGTCAACATCAAAATAAAGTGTACAGTATTTTACAAAATTTTTTTTTGCTTTCTTCCAATAGTTTAAATAGTGGTTGCCAATAATATTTTAATTTTTTTTTAAACCTTAAAACCTTTTTAAACCTTTAAACTTGAAAGAAATGTTAATTTGATTTACCTCAAAAAAAGCAATACAACAAAAACTCCAGATTTATTGCGTCAAAATAAAGTGAACAGTAATGAATTTAATAAATAATAAGCTAAAAACTTCACACTTTCATTCAGCTAATTTTGGTGTCACTTTCAGTCAAATGTTCTGCAATTCATCCTACAATACAGATTTCTGAGAGTCTGATAGTTATGCTTTTTTTTTTGCGAATTTGCCTGTCCAGATGTTCCCATAAATGTTCAATGCGATTAAGATCCGGTGATTGTGGGGATGGTCCAATTGTTTTAGTGTATGGTACAGCAGGAGTTCCTTATGCTGGAAAATCCAGCATAAAATAAATAGACACAGCAGCGATCCAGTTTTCCGACACTTCGACGCTAGCCTGGTGAATTTCCTTTTAAAATATTAAGCTAATCCATTTTGCAAGTTGTATTGTCAATAAACACCAATTTACCCACTCCACTTGCCGCCATACACGCTCACACCATCACTGAAGCCCCACTGTGGTTTACTGTAGACACTGTTTTTTTCTTGACATCAATCAAAAAAATTATAAAAAAAATTTCAATTATAATAATTTATTACTAATATTTTTAATGTCATCATTAAATATGGACATTTTCCGAGTAAAAGAAAACATTGTACATATTGATTCATAAATTACGTAAAAATTCTATAAGTTTTATCATATAGATTCTCTCGCATCTCTAAACTTCTCGAGAAAAAACTTCTTTTAAAACTGTCGCAGTTGGGTCGTTATACTAGGCGTAGACTTTTTAAAAGCAGCGGATGCTACCTTACGGTGCGGAAACTCAGTTATCGCCTTCCAAAATTAAGACCAACGAGACAAAGTAAACCAATATCAGCATTCTACATGAAATCAAATCACAGGAGGTACAGGTGGAAAACTTTGTATGATACCAACCATTGTAAGTTCATCGAAGCTGTCCATAGTATACCTCCGGAAGAGGAATGTGTCGAACCTAGTAGAATCAAACCCAGAGCAAAGGACTTACGAACGAGGAGAAAAAATACTTGGCTGCAGTTCCAATAGAGGCCGATATAATAGATTTTTCAGAGCAAGAATTAGCTAAGTTCAAAATTGTGAAGGGAGTCAATACATTAGCTTACTATTCTATAACCATGACCGATAATCAGCCGATTAAACAAAGATATTATTTACGAAATCCGGTGGAGCTGCTACAAAACGACCACATCGAACCCTCGAGGAGCGCGTATAGTGCTCCTATCGTACTGGTGAAGAAGAAAAACGGTAAGTGGCGACAGTGTGTTGATTATCGGCAGCGGATAATGTAACTATTCACCAACAGAAAAGGCATAGCTATAATATAGGGCATTTGAAAGATGCTTCTGTACTTGAAGGGGTGTCGCTTCACGGTTATTACAGATCACCTGTCTTTGAAATGTTTGAACTCGACTGACAGTTCTTCGGTGCGAATTGCACGCTGGACTGGAATACAGTTTAAATATTCAATATTGTGTTATGTAGGCCTAAGAAAAGGATTTAACTGTTATCATAAGTGTTCAAAAATAAAGGAAAAATAATACCTGCGAGGTCCCACGCTGTCCAAGTCACATCTTGCAACACCTAATTATATGTTTATACAGTCAGTGTTTTTTTTCTTTCTGCTTTTCCTATGTGAATGTGTCCATAGAGTCTCCACCAGATCAGATCACTTTTAGAATTGTTTTGTTTTTTTAAATATACCTACTTTTAGCAATGAGGTATTTATATATAAAATAACATATGCACTTTTGGTTATTATTTATCTTATTTCTTACTGATTTATTTCTTGTTTTTTTGTTTTGGTTGCTTATCACTGCAATTTAAATTTTCAATATGCATATCAATGGAAATAAAGAAATAGTAAATAAAGAATGTAAATGTAAAGCTTTTGTTTTTTTTTTGTTTTGAGCTGTGCAAATTGAGGCGAATTCCACTAAAAGCTTCACTGAAATTTGACTTAGTGAGAGGAAATGGTATTGCCAAATAGGAATAATCAACATAAATACAAAAGGCAAGTCATAGTTTTGTGGAAATAAAAGTAAAGTGAGCTTTTTAATAGTTCATTCACCCCAAGATAGGTAATCAAAACTAAAACAACGCCAGCCAAAACAAGCAAAAACAATCCGCGAGAAAAAATTTAGTAACAGGAAAGTGGTGAAAAGTTCTAAAGAACCTTCGGCGGTAAATACAAAATTAAGAGGACCATGAACGTTATAGAAGGATTTTCAGTTAGGCGGACTGGCTATAAAAGACCTAGCAGAGGGTTGGTTCAGTCTCTTTTTCTTGTGCATAAAGGTTGTTGTGCGTGGCGGGTGATTTTAAATTGCTTAATTCAAAGTGACTTATTCAGTGACTTATTCAGTTATTCACTGAAAGTAAAAATAAAAGAAATCTTTTAAAATTTTTTTAAATAAATTTGTGAAGAAAGCCCAAATCGTTAAAGAAAAAAAATTATAATAATAAAACAAAAGTAAATTAAAGATCAAAAATTATGTAAGTACCACAGACAAAAATGGCTCAAATGAGCCATCAGAGAAAAATTCACTTAAACAAAAAGAAAATATATATATAAATCAAAAATAAATTATGTAAAAAGAAAAAGTGAGCATACAAAAAAAAGAAAAAATCAAAAATTTAAATTAAGAAAAAAAAGTAAGAACTTTCCGTTATTTTGTGTCAGTAAAGATTTAATAAATGCAGGCATTTATAAGAACGGAAAATAAATATTGACTTAATTATAAACAATAAAGTATTAGTGTTGCTGTAAAGCTAGACTTACTTTGTATAGTGACAAAGAAGCTTTATTAAAATTTAGAAGGGTTTTCGAATAACAAAGAAAGAAATAAAGGACAAACACAAAAATTTATTTTTAATTTTATTGAAATTTAGCTGACCATACAACGCTGTTTCGAGTATTGCCAAGTACTCTTCATCAGTGGTCTTTGGAAATAATCGAATTTTATTTAATTAGTTTATAGTCCGTATATAATTTGTTTGGACTGCAAGTGCCAGGCTTAGAACTCGTGCCTGTCAAATTAGAAGCGATGACTAATCGTGTTCAATGTATCTAATTAATCTTTGGGTTCGAATTGCTTAAATTTTATTTTTTTTGCTTTTTTTTCTTTCATTTTTTTTTTATTGTTTTTTTTCTTTCATATTTTTTTATTGTTAATTTCAAAAAGTTTCTTATAGACATTGACCTATATACATTACTTGAGTATTATTATTATAGTCATGAAAATATGTAAAAATATGACTTTTGGTTAAAATATATAAAAAAACCAAAAAGGAAAAAAATATTGTAATTTTTTTATTATCATACATCAAATATAGAATAAAGATATTGTTGAAATATTTATATACTTATATATATTTACATTGCAATTTTCTTTTATTATTTTTTTTATTATTATATTTTTTTAATTGTATTGAATTGTATTTAATTGTATATATTTAATTGTATTTATAGAAAAAAATATATTGGAATTATTTATATTGTTTTATTCCTATAACTATTATCAATAATAAGAAGAAAAAAATAATAAAAAAAAATGTTAACCTAGTTGAATTATATAAAAATTAATTTTTTTTTATTTTTTTGGTTTTGTTTTACGAAGTCGTTGAGCAATTCTTCTGTATTTACTCAAGTTGCAGTTAAATTTCCTAGTATCACTGAAATCATTATGACGTTTTAAAGGTCAAAAGGGGTGGTATTAGTCTTGGGATCACATTGTCCTCCTAAG